CCCCGCCCCGTGTGGGATTCAAGCTTAGCAGTGGCCTTGGTTTGCACACCAATCCCTGGCAGTAACTCTAAACATGAAGCCTAAATCACTGCTACAGCCAGATAGTTTATGAAAACGCTGCTAACTCAGACAGAACAGCTAATTAGAAGAGCTTTAGCTAAAAAGTAAAATCATTGCAGAACCAGCTCTATTTACCTCAAACCAGGATATATGTTTAGGATCCAGGGACTGCAGAGATTTAGCTTTAAACTTGCAAGAAGCCTCGAGCCTCCTACCACTGCCACCTACTGTCGAAGCTTCCTTTAACACCAGAAATGGGTTGTGCCCGAGTATCTTTGTGGGCAAGACAGCAAGAAATTGCTGTGATGGTTAAGATCTTTCAGTGGTACCCAGACCTAGACTCCATGCACTCTTAATGTTGGGCAAGTCTTTGAACCTGGGCCTCAATTTTCCTCAACTGTAAGTAGTGGAGAAAAGAAAGAAACAAACAAAAAAAACCCCCAAAAAAAAACAAAAACAAAAACAAAAACAAAAACAAAAACAAAAACAACAAAACCAACCAAACAACCAAACAACCCAAAACTGACTGCTATGGAGAAGCTTCTTTGTAAAATGACCTCACCTGTGCAGACTTGCTGCGTAGCCATGAGGAACTTTTTCTTGTTAGCCTGCAGACTCAGCATGCTTGTACCCTTGGTAGGAGAAGCTCTATCTCCTTAATACCTTGCTCAACAGCAGAAGCAGCTTGTTTGGCCTCAAATACTCTTCTCCCTCCCATCCCTCAATGAGAAATGCATTTGATTAGAGGATGCAGAACTTTGGGTAGAGACCAAGAAGCTGGAAAGGTTTACCTGTATGTCATGTAAGGGCGGGCATACTACAAATAGTGGCTAAGGGACAAGGTGGCAAGAGTATGCCATGCTTCCCCCAGTATCCTGAAAACAATGAGCACGTACATAATTATTTTATAGAAGAGATATGAAGGGGCACAAAGATTACAGCTCAGATTCCAAAGATCTGGTTTATATCTATGTCAAACATGGTTTCCATTGGCTGTCTTAGGCACGTCCTGCCTTAACACGCTGGTTGGTGTGCATACCCCAGCGAGGTAGCTATGGTGAGAGCCAGTGAAGGTAAGGTTAGAGAAGCCCTTCAGAGTCACACAAGACCCTTTCTGGCTGACTCCAAAAGTGACTAACAACATACAGTAAGTAAAATAATACACAGGAATAAGATGAGTGTGAAATGACCCATTCCCACAATACTATTCTAACTTCCAGCAACTTCTGCCTCTCAGATGTCCTAAGGCAGAGGTGGCGTCTTTATGACCTGAAAGGGCTTTAGTTAGCAGGTTCAACACAATCCGTTCCTTGAACACAGAGACATACATAGAACTCTTCTGAACAAACACTGTCAGGAGCTCAAGTAGGTATGTTAGAAATGGAGGGCTCAAACATAGAAACATAGCAATGTCCATCTTGGAGCAGAGAATGAAACATGTCAACTCCTTGTCACTAGTCACGGTGTAAACGGTGCATATTCATTCTGTCTCTAAGAACTAAATCCCAGTAGATAACTTTAGGCCTGGTTTTGATTCTGGAAGTCAGCATTTTCAGGCTGATGCAATCCTGTGCCACCAGGTTCCCACATCCTTCGGCAGGACTTGACCCTCCAGCTTGCAGCAGCAGCTCCAAGATTTCTCTATTCAATAATTCTAAATGCAGCTGTTCTGGGTGGGAGATATGGAAGACCCCAAAGCAAGGAAGGGAGAAGACGCAGCCAGGAATCTGCTACCAGCAGTCTTTAACTTGAAAAAAACTACAGGAAAGCTGGGAGCTATTACCAGCCTCTCAGAATGGTCCCCTCCACCCAAATCAACTCTGTTACAGGATTCCAAGTGGGCTCAAATACAAGGTTCCATACGGTATTTGAAATTCCTTCATGAAAACTTGGCCCTTCTCCACAGGGCTCTTCTAATGGTGAAAAGACAACACTGAGCACTAAAACACTTCACCTACCTATGTTTGATAAAGTGAGTAGTGGTAAGTATGCACACATTTACAAAACTTTTTATTGCATGTTCTAGAATTAATTTACAATAAAATACAGTAAATGCAAATTCTGTTTTCCCCCATATCTGTGGCAAAAAAGAGCTGCAAATAAACCTAACTCATCTTGGGAAGACAGATGCCAATAGATGTATAAAAAAATTTAATTGTTAAATAGCCTTTTTCTTCTACTAGGTCATTCCCAAAAGCCTTAAAAATAATTAAAAACAATACAGCATAGAAATATCTTTTAGTATTTTGGTTTATTGGAAAAAAGGAGTCTGTGCATGGAAGAACAACTCAGGAGACCAGCCAGTTGCCCCTTCCAATACACCTGCTGAATTATTTGCACTTGAGAGATCCTTGCCTTCTGAAGGGGAACAAGTTTCCAGGACTGTATCGCTTAAGACCAAGGTGGCCTTGGTGACACCTGCAGCTACAGGAGTTGTTTGAGTCCTGGCTGTACCCCCAGAGTTTAATCTCTCATTTTGGAAGCAAACATCACTTTCACTGTTCTTTTTGCTTCCAGCAGCAGGGCTCCTGCCAGCGTGCCCACAGGTCGACTGCAAGTCCATAGCCCAGCAAACTGTTTTGAAGTTTGAAGATGCGGTTGGTTTCAACCTTTTGCTTGGAGATGGTGTGACCCACTCCTCCAAGCTGTAACCTTCTCTGTCTCCCCTGTTACTTGGCCTTCCACGTTTCACTAACCGGCCACTAAGCTGCTGCAACAGAGTGTTCTGAACAGAAGATCTGCATCGCTTGCCTTTGGAGTGGGATTTAGTGGGATTTTTAGGGGTGACGATAGTGGCAGAAGAGCTTCTCTCCCCAAAAGGCCACAGCTTCTGGAAAGGTTTTGTCATAGGAGTCGACTGTGAATACGGAACAAAGTCTTGAGCACTCACTGAACTGCATTCTGAATCACAGAAGGAGTAATAAGTCAGTGGAGTACTGTGCTTGCTAAAATCAGGAGGGGACCTGTGTAGGGATGAACTTGATTTGGAACTGTTAGAGGGAACGTCTCCAGGACAAAGCACCAACTCAGAGGCTGTGACCTTTTCTGTCAAAGTATCTTCCTCTATTACAGAATTACACAATTTATTTAAGAATTCTACAGGTTTTGCTACCTCTTTTGCACTTGCATCAAAGAGATCAGCAGAAGCATTGTAGCTGCCTTCAGGGAAGATACTGTTCCACGGCATCTCTCTCCCGCTAACACTTCTGAAGGTATTTTCTGGCAGTTCTGTCAGTGGTTTTAATTCTCTTTTATCTGTCTGTCTGGTATTGTTGGGAGTTGCTGGATCAGAGTCCCACACACCTGTACATCTAAGATCTGTTCTTTGGCTTGGTGTAGAATACAGATTTTCTTTATTTTCACAACCAGCTAAACAGCGACCACATGCAGAATGCACGCAGGTAGCTGCCTTGCTCCTTTTTAAACAGGAGGTGTCTCCATGTTCAGCAGTGCTCTGCAGACTAATAAAAGACCAAGCTGACTTTGAAATGTCAATATTTGCTTCTTTGGACTGCACGTATCTGCTCTCAGAAACAGAATGCTCTGATGCAGCTGGCAAGGACTGTGACAGACTAGGTAGATGAAGGTTAGGTATAAAGCAAGATGTTTCGCATTCCTTGTCAGCTGAAGACAGAATATTAGAGAAAGACTCACGTTGTGACACTGGGGGAGGATTTGCATTTGACTGAAAACAAGCAAACAACATGTTCTCCCAACTATCATTTCCTACTGTTGGCAAGAACCTCCCTGAGACGTTTGCTCCAGGCAAATCACCAGCTACCACCGCTTGCCTGTGATATGATTTGTCAAGATTTATACCCAACTTGCTACTTTCAGGAAAGGCCTGCTTGCCTACATCAAGGCTGGGTGATGTTACAACACTCTTGCCACCTTCTATTTTGGCTAAAAACTCATTTAGGCTTTCTGAGAATGGGAGATCATCCCAAAGCATAGAGTCCATGCGAGACACTCCAGCTACATTTGTGTGATGAGATGCTGAGACATCTCTCCTGTAAAAAAGGGAGCTGTGAGATTTTTCTGGGTAAGAATAATTTCTACTATTAGTCTTTGCGTAAATGCTTCTTACCCCAGATTCCACAGGATGTTGCAACAAGCTGGAATTGTTCCCATGTGAACACTCAGTCTTTGAAGAGGATACTGTCTCTAATTTAGCAGTTGCAGAGCCACTGTCAGACTGTGAACTCAAGTCATTGTCCTCCTCTTTATCCCCTTCCTTCATAGAAGAGGTGGAAAATTGTGAATCCCAAAGAGTCTGATTGTTGAGGCTCACACTGCATGACTCTGCAGAGACAGGCTTCCCCTCTTGCTCATGCTGTTCACTCAGAAGCTTTCCCACTTCTAGAGTGGGAAAGTCTTCTGCTGTTACCCAAGCAACAGATGAAGTCAGGCTGAAGGACTGCTGCCAGGACCCTAAAAAACTTTCTCTGCCACTAGACCAAACAGAGCAGGAGTTTCTGCTCAGGCTAGACAAGCTGCTGAGCTCACTGACAGGCTCATCTATTGGAGCTCCAGATGCATCAGGTAAGTATGAGCTGTTATTACAGCTCCTGGATTTTGCCAACTGCAGAAGCCGATGGAAGTAGTTGATAACAGTAAAGCCACTGACAGCAGCATTTGGCAGGAAGATCTGGCAAGCTGTAAGTTTTTTTGTACTTCTGTTAATTCTGGAACAGTTTTGGAAGATACTGCTGGCAGCAGAATGCCATTCATCTTCCCTTGCACAACCCTGGGGGGAAACAAACAAACAAACAAAAAAATAAATTAACACATCTTTTAAGTCAGGCTTAAACTTTGGTGTCACTTTTTGTCAGGGTTTGCAGGGAAAGAAAACACAAAACAGTCTGTCCCACAAAGCAGTACTCCCTGGGAAATAAGCACTGGCAGGGGCTATAAAGGGCATCACAGTGAGAGATTCTTTGCTTGTTGCAATTATGCTGAGCTTTGGAGCTGGAAAAACAACCAAGAATTCTAAGAAAGGACTTCACAGAAAATTTCTTCCTCCCTTTAGGGCACTGGGTCCATCCGGGCTTCCTCCAGTGCAGTTCTGTGCAAATGGCTGGCTGCCTAAGCCCCGTGCTTTTCTTTTATCTAGGAGGCACTGGGCAGTATGTGAAGCAGAGCACTCTGTACCAAATACCTGACTCAGCAGCTCAGCTATCAAAGCCAGCACAATATTTTTTATGTGCCACCTCTGTGAAAGGGAAATAAGCTACAACCTTTATCTTCTTGAATTTATTTGGACAGTACTGTTCCAAAGGGGCTTCAGCTGCAATTCTTTATAGAACCTGCTTCTCTCTACACAGAAATTACAGGTGAAAAATGACATTAAAAGCAGAGGGAATTATCTAGCATTTTGAGAAGTGCATAAACCCTTTATCACCACACTCTGAAGTCTGGCAATACCAGAGAAGCCAAAAAAGCAAATACACCTGTCTCCAAATTCAACAACCCTCCTACTCCCTGAGTCTATGCAAAGGTTGTGGCTGAGGGATGTTAGCCAAGGACAATACACACTTCTGGTTAAGACAAAGTATGTTATGTTGATCCTGAGTTTGGGAGAGTGCAACTGTATGCATAGCTGAACACAACCACACAGAAATGTCTGTAGCCAAAGGCTGAACAAATGGTCTTCAAATGTGTGTTCAGTGCTTGTGAGTGCAGAAGCTGTTGATGTGTAGGATTACTTGTACTTGTAAAGGCATCAGACCTAGAGACCTGGTGAATGGTTCCAGTTAAGGAAAGTTAATCCATCAGGTCCTCCAGCTTCCACTACTTAACATGCTGTGCACTAGAAAAAAATCTCAGTTCAGATACAAACCTCATGGTACCTGTGGGAGAGGAAAAACACCTGCCAGGTAGGATTCAGCTCACAGATTTCATAATATGAATGAATCACACAAGCACCACTTGATGAGAACTTAAAAGATTGTTTCTATGGAAATATTACTAAGAACTAATATTTCAAAGTCTCTTAAACACATAAAAGAGCCACAGATGCACATGTTGAACAGCTGAACTTTATCAACATTTTTAAACACGCTCTTAAATTCAGAAATATCACAATGCTGCACAGGGATGTGTTTCTCCTTACATTTCAGACACCAGGAGACCACGCAGCCTGGGAAAGGTAGGACACTGCTTGAAAAGACAGTCTGTTTTTTGCTGGAACTGTACACGGTTCTTACAGACTCCAAGCTGTTACTGATACACACAGGAGCTGGCACTGCTCAAGCTCTCTCTAAGGCAGCCCTGACAAGCTGTCAAGCTGACTACTGCCATTCAAGATGATTTTTGGATGTGACTCATTTAAACCAACAGAGGAGTCTGGGGGAAGAGGAGCAGAATCCTTCCAGCGTCCTAGCCCTAAATCTTCTCGAATTCCCAAAAGATGTTGCACATGATGCCCCCAACTGGCTACAAGCTAATGAAAAAACTCATTATAAGACAGTAATGTGGATTAAAAATTACCTCCACTCCAAATATAAATCTTTTTCCAATGAAACACGATTCCACTGCTTGAACTAACACTCCTGGAGATGCATCAGGGCTTGTTTCTCCTGACAGCTGATTGAAGTCTTGAATATACCTTGAGTAAAACCATATAGAAGTATTGGTCCAACAGAAGAAGCCTTAACACAGCATTTAGGTGCAGTAAAGGTAGGACACATGCTAAAGAGAAGATATTGTGGTAGCTTAAACTAAACATAGAATGAAAACAGGAAAACATGAACCTATACATTTGATTGTTTAGGTCGCTTAATTTGTTGGTGAAATAAAAGTAAACAAAACAAACACTCGAGTGGTTTAACATACACATGACTTTCAGGTGTTCCCTGTGTGGCTGTGGTTTCTGCATCAACACAAAGACTGTCAAATGCTGTCAATGTGCTGCTATTGCTGACACATCCTTTCTGCTCACACCTGTGCAGCAACAGCAGTATCCTCACTAAGTGATGCAAATAACTCAGTTTCTCACAGCTGACAGCAATAGAGGAGTCTGGTGCAGAATGCCTGCCCTGAGTATGTCAGTAATGCTGCTGGTATGGGATTTAAAAAGTGTTCATCTCTGGCCCCGTGACAACACAAGGCATTAGAAAATAACAGTAGAGAAGGAAGCAGTGCATGTATCTGAATATCCCATCCTAGCAATTTCACACGTTAGAAAGTCTGAAGCTTATAAAGTGGGTGGTCAGGCTCTGAGGACTAACAGGCTTCTCAGAAATCCCTTCTTCCTAAAGGAAAATCTGGTCATTTGAATGAAAGCCATAAGGTACAGACTTTGTTTTTTTTAAATCCAAATTGTTATTGAAAAAAAGAACCCCAACCCAAAGGCTCCTTCTTTACCTTAAAATTTTTCTAAAATTGTGACAAAGAAACATGTCTAAACCTCAGGAAAAGCTGAGTTACTTAATAGTCTGACATTAGACAGAGGAAATTCAATCATCTCAAAACAAGGAGGAAGGATTCAAGGAAGAAGCCAAACCAACCAAATTGTGAAGCTCACTTAGCAGGTAGTAGCTGCCTTCAACAGACAAGTGGGGGAATCTCTTCTACTACACGGAAGTAATCCATCTCAAAATTTTCAAAATATCAGGAAAAGAGGAAAACAAACTTCAGCATTTTTTCAAGGTGATGGGCACCAAGGAAATGTTGGAAGGGAGCACTTTAGCAGCTTCTTTGCACTCATCTCCCCCACCATCCTGGCTCACCTCAGTTTTTTTTTAGGCTGAGGAAAAAGCAGCAGCTATATAGTTAGAAACAATCCATTCCTTACCTCTGCAGATTTTCTGCGGTGACCCCAAAGAATGGATCCAGGCAACTTCCAAACACGGTAACATCAAACAAATCAGTAGTGTCAGCAATCTTCAGGGACAATCTGTATCTGTAGCTTGCATCCTTCGCTTTACCCGTGCAGCCACATTTTAGACAGTTAAATCTACCAAGACAGTAAAAGGATAAAAAGACTGAATATGTGAACTTCTTTTAATCACTGCTGAGGCAAGAACTTATCTGCAGCCGTAAGCATTACTACTATAATGTATCAAATACTCCATTATGAACTATAAGATCCTTTCTTATTCTTTACTCCTTGAGGCATTATTCTCACCACAGGCTCAGCAAGGGGTCTGTATCATGACAGAATCCCTCTGGCTTCTTTTCCTGATTTATTGAATGCCAGCCTGTTGTGAAGTTGGAGAGATGGTCTTTGAATGATCTCTCAGGGAGTAATTCTGAATTCCCTGCACTCCCATTTTTTGCATTTTGTTCTGATTTGGGATTTTTCTTCCTGTAGCTTTAGTATAATACCTAGATTTTAAAAAAAATCATGAAACAGCATTGTTATCTTTTACTTCAGCGTTTGAAACGACAGACATTCTCACTTTGCAGAGTCAGCTCCTTCCATGACTTACTGTTAGTCCGTGTGTCACAGATTTCACACAACAGTGGCATTAAAAAGGAAAGCCCCCATGTTTCTGGACACACAGTGTGGAAGAGTCATACAGGACTACCTAATGCATTGCACATATAAAATTAGAAAAAATTTTAAAAAATAGGACTTGGAGGGGCTTTCAACCAATGCTTTCCATCTTAGGAACAGCACTGAAGAACTGGACTGCTCAGGGTGCACTTGGAAGCTACTCACACACACACTTTATTCTCCTAAAATGTCCTTCAGTAGAGCATGGCACTAAATGCAACAGAACTCTTGAGCCATAATGACCTCCAAGCTGCTACTAGAACACAAAGAGATCTAAATAATGATAAGTAGAATAAGTATCTGAAATTAGCACTTACTGCTACAGCAGATGGATTTGCACCAATTTGTTTTAACGTGTTTGGCCAACAGAGATTCTTCCCAAGGCCTCTGACAGTTACTACAGTTAATGAACCCCAAAACAGGACGTACCTCCTAGAATTCAGTACCAGCCTAGAAAAGCATCTTTGACAGGCAGGATAGATGAAGCAGGAGTTCTGGATAGAAATTACAGAAGCAGCCAAGAGTCCTCTCACACTATTCATGGGCTCACAGCATCACCTGAAACAAGGAAGTTAAAGTGGTTCAAAGGATTCTCATTTTTTGAGATGTTAACATTAACTGCTTTTAGCTGGGGTTTTTGAACATTTTGAAAGGCAGCACTCCGGAAATTATGATCTCTGTTTGAAAATGGTGGAACAACTCAGGCAACATCTTAATTAGCCCTTTAAAAAGAAAAAAAAAAATACAAAGGTATGTAGTAAGAAGCAACAGGCTGTCCTGGGAAGGGCCAAGTCATCACCTCTTGAGGTATTTAAAAGACTGTAGACGTGGCACTCGGGGACATGGCTTAGGGGTGGACTTGGCAATGTCAGGTTAAGGGTTGGACTCAATGATCTTAAAGGTCTTATCCAACCTAAACAATTCTATGATTCTATGCACATTCATGATAATTGCACACCACTGCAGATAAAACACACAAATTCCCACTTTTATTTAGGGAATCTTTATTAGAACTATCCTTGACCACAGCACTGTAGCAAATCAGTTGCTATTTTTTTTCCCTACTTCAGAATGAAGCCACAACGTGGGGTTAAAAGCTGAAATGATTCTACACTTCTAATTCTGTACACGCCTTCAATACCAATGACTGTTAAAGGAGAAGATGCCCAAAAAAATCTCAGATGGGCTTGCAATAGCAACTATATTCATGCCCTTGGAGCCAAAGGGGCAGGCAGCTCTCCACTGTTTACCATTGATTGCAACAAAGAGGTCACATTATATGTCTGAGAAATAAATTATGAACTAAATGTTTAAATAAAGATGAATTAATTTTTCTTCAGTATTACTTTCCTGAAGAACCATCTTGCCTTTACTGTCACTGTACTGTCCAAAATAGTAAGTTTTGGGAAACTTCCCTATTTTAGAAAGTTATCTTTTTTCTCAGCAGATGCTAGACATATGTAGAGAAAAATATCCTAAAAATCATAAAGTTCCAACTTAAGTGACCAAAATGATCTCTACAGATGGACTAAAGGACACCATAAAACCTTCTTTGCAACAGTACTTTTATTACATAATGACTAAGTATACATCTCTTTCCAAAGAAAGCTGCAGAATAAACTCAGAAGAGGAAGTGATTTCACATCGTCGTCCCAGCACTCCCCCAGGGAGACAGAAGGACAAGGAGATAAAGAAGACTCAAGTATGGTTTTACAGGTTAAAAACCATTCAATAATCAATAGCAATGTTTTGTTCCTATTTTACCACCAAAAAAATTAGACCTACACACTATTCCTTTGCCCTTTGGTGCACCATGCTCAGCATTCTGGAAAAAACAAGATCTAGAACATGATTATGTGAAAAAATATGAGTGATTAAACCTCATTAGTTTGAGCAGTTCAGAAAAAAAAAAAAAAAAAAATCAGATATCCCAATATTCCCTATGGCAGAAAGCCCAAGAAAAGAGAGGCAGGAAAAAGTTAACAGCTTTACTAGAAGGAGAACCAAAATGAAAAAAAATCTTTTCAGAACACATATTAACAGAGGCTCATGTGACCTAATATATTAAATGATGCATGCCTTCAATTCTTGCCAAAACAGAACTACTATGGTTTGGTTACAGTACAAGATATCAGTAAAACATACAGAGAAAACACATCAATATGTAAAAAAGAAGTAACAAAAATAAGCCTTATTTTGTTATTGCCCAAGAAGGTGGACTTGGAGAAACGAGCAGGTGCCTCACATTCCAACGGGCTTTCAGCTCAGAACTGTATGAACGAAGTGCACTGCTACCTGCAGTTTTTAATGAAATAACAATCTCCCCATACTCCAGAAAACACAACAGTTTTAAGTATTCCATTGGAATACGGGAGATAAAGCAGAGCATCTACGTATTCACACGGGTTCTGGTAACAGCTCCCTTTAGAGCAGACAGGCTCTAAATCTACGTCGCTAGCGTTCTTTGGGAAAAATACAGTACTCGAAATCTGGACATGAAAAAGGACAGTGTAACTAGATCTGGTTCACTTTTTTTTTTTCATAAATAAAGCAACCCAAATATCTGGACACACGTACCCAGCCCGAGAATCATGTGGCAACCCCAGTGCTCCTCACCACCAGCCTCCAGCGAGCTCTCCCTTTCCACAGCCCTGCAGTGTCACCAGGCTTTACATCAGTGCCTGGTGCCCTCTCGTGGCTGCAGTGCCTTGAATGCTCCCTAAGGAAAGAAACAAACAAACAACAAAGCACACTGAGAGCTGTAACAGATCTCACATTGCAGTTTTTACCCTTTAACCAGCAGCCTCCTCCCACTCCCCCTTCGAGAGGCCCCCAGAGGGCAGCGAGCAGCCAGGCAGAGCTGTCCTGGCTTCATCCGACACCCGTTGCCTGTCGTAAGAAAATCAGAATGCTTTGGGTTAGAAGAGGCCTTAAAGATCATTC